ACGCGCGGCCCGGCCCACCCACAAAAGCCTGGCCCGTTAGGCCCGCATACATATATAATTATGTATAAATAAGAGTTTAGGATTAGGATTATATCACTTAAATCGCATATATAATCTGTTTCATTTCATTTACTTTTCTTTACTCATTCCTAGTTTATAATTGGATGATTAGCACAGTAATTTGTGTCAATTATTAATACAACAATTATATATATATATATATATAAAAATAAGATGAACAATATACCATATCACTAAATATAATCATATCACGAAACATAATCGTACTACTACCACCAAATATAATCATGTTTTTCTTGAACATATCACCAAACATTTACATATTTATTTATACCATCCTTTAAAAATAATATCTTTTTGATTCTTATTATTTTTTAAAATTATTTCTTAAAACGTATTACGGTCTAATTATGTAATAACCTCAAAAATAATACTATGTTTTATTATTTTTGTGGAAAATCTTATTAAGTTGTATGACTTTATTGGGTATTTTATGAATTTGGTTTGATGTGAAAATATTGGAATTAAATGAGTTTAATCTCAAATTTAGACTAAAATGCCCTTATGATTAAGTTTATGATTTTTTTCGAATGAAGTAGGCCCTTTTCGGCTCAGCCCAATGGGCTTGGGCTTTGAATTTTCTAAAAAAACCCAGCCCGGCCCGGCCCGATATTTTCTCTCTCCTCTTTAAATCCCAGCCCGGCTCGGCCCAAGCCCATTAAATTTGGGCCGGGCTAGCCCGGCCTGGCCCATTGACGAGCCCTAGTTCTGGGTAGTGGATTAGAGGCTTTGCTGTTAATCTTGGTGTAGGACAAGTCTTGGAAGCTGAGTTATGGGGCATCTATCTTGGACTGAAAATTGCTTGGGATATGGGTTGCAGTGTAGTTGTGCTTGAGTCTGACTCAGCGATTGCGGTACACCTGCTTAATAAAGATGTGGAAGACTTTCATTCTCTTGCTGCTATGTTGTGGGGATGCCATAGACAGAAATTGGTATGTTCTATTCATCATGTATGTGGTGGCAAATAGATTAGCTGAATTAGGTTCATGTCTTGAGTTGGGTCTGTCAACCTTCCATGATCCTCCTGATAGTATTAGGTCTTTTCTTAATGAAGATTTACTTAGAGTATGTAGGCCTCGAGCCGTTGTTTAATTTCTCTGTTGGGCTTGGGCGTTAGCCCCGTTTCTTCACCGAAAAAAAAAAAGAAGAAAGATTGGAACTTTAACAATAATTTAACTAATGAACGAAGACCAATAAAAGCTAGGTTGTGAACTTTTTGTTCAAATAATTAAAACTTAAAAAACTTCGATTTTCCAATTGCAAATAACAAGAATTCCTGCCATGTGACAATTAACTTGAGTCAATTAATTCTTTAAAGTCGTCAAGGGAGAGTTGACCAAAATAACCTCAATTCCAATCCTCTAAACATCCAAAGCCACATAAATATTAAATAATAAACAAAACTAACAAAGCAAATCGACAAAACTAAACTAAGCATACATTGTGACGTCCCTAAAACTTGTTAAAGATTGGCTCACCATTGATGTGGGGAAGTAAACAAGTAGAAGAAAACAACAAAAGGAGGTTGCTAGATCATCATGATGCAATTGCAGGGAGACCGGTCGGCAATTGCCAACTAACCGGTTGGTATTCTCGAGAGAGCGCCATTGCCAGGCTACTGGTGTGCAATTTCCTGCCAACCGATCGGTTTTCGCAGATTTTGCTGACCTGTTGCGTTTTAAGCCTATTGCGTTCTAACAGAGAGAGGGAATTACTAAGGGTGTGAGAGTTTACAAAGCCATCAAAAGGTTTGAGGAAGGGTGTATCTTTCATGTTTATAAATGTTATTGTTCAAGGACTCAAAATAAAAGAAAATATTGCCTTTCATGTTTATATCCAAACGATTTTAGTCATTCAATTTCGAGGCATTAATTGTGTTTGGGCTTAATTTTGTTGAGGGCCAAAATGTGGCTATCATTGAATTTATTAAATAATAGATCTTATGAGACTTTGAGCTATTAAATAAGTGAAGCCCAATTTTTCCAGATTCTTTATAAATATCCATATTTATTAGGTATTAGGCATAACAATCCCTACTAATTAGGATTTGAGACATAGAGTATTTCTGTTTGGGTTTTAATACCTAGGAATCGAATTTGTTTTGGTTTTATCTAAAGAGAATGCCCAAATTCATTGGGCCTGTCTAAATTAGAAAGCTAAAATATAATTTTACTCTTTTTGTTTAGAAGTCCGGCCAAAATCAAATCTCATCATTCCCCTCTCTCTCTCTTGACTGGAAAATAGGACAGTCACATTCCCAATTTCACAGCGACTTTCCAACACCATAATGACCTTAAATGATATTGGGAAAGGGGGGTTTTCTCACACATACATTCTGCAAATTAAGGTCATTTCCATTTGGCTAGACCTCATTGGTCCATAAGAGAAAGAAAAAAGTGTCAAGTATTTTCAAGGCTATAGTCATGTCAATTTGGTTAGATTTGACAAAGATTCCCGTGAACTTCAAACATGAAATTAGTCGGACGTTTGGAAGATTTGTAAGTAATTCTAGTCGCCACGGGAAAGATTCTCCTATTTAAGTTAGGTATTATGACAACATATAAAGAAGACTGATAGTCGATGACAATCTCTCTCTCTCTCTCTCTCTCTCTCTCTCTCTCTCCATACAAATCATCTCAACAAATATCAAATTGATCACAATTAATCCCTAAAAATATTTCACACAAATTTCAACCCAGATTCTAGAGATTTCTAGAGGCCAATTCCCAGAGATTTTAACACCAACAAGATTGCTCTTCCATATGCTAGTATGATTTCCAACTCAAGTACCATACAATTTGTGATTATGTTGATTCATGCTGAAACAGTTCAGTCCGAGTTGATGTCGTGAATTGGCTTACTATTTGGTATGTAGCGGAGCAACCAGTCGAAGTAGCTAACGAACCGCTCAAATAGTGTAGCAAAGTGAGTGACCGATCGGTCTAACCACCAGACTGGTCAGTCGTCTGGTTTCCTATTTTAAGTTGATCGGATTATATGTTTTACCTATTTCTTTAGGGTTTTATTTTCATACTTTGATTCTAACCACAAAAGATAAAAATGTGACTTCAGGAGAGTTGTGGAAACATAACGAGAGAGATCGATACAGAGAGGAACCAGAGGGTTTGAGAAATGATGAGAGAGAGATTAAGGCCTAGGGTTTAGAAATGGGCAAGGGGGTTCTTCTTGTTAAATTGTTTTGTTCTTGTGGTTTGCTTTATTTTGCTTGTTGTGTTGGTTTATCAATTTTTGCCAGTTGGTTGCGTGCGCTCATCACAGTCCATTGGTAACAAGATCTCGGCGTGTTTTTACACTAGTCATCGAAAGCTCCTATGGTAATAGAGTTTTTATATGCTTTCAGATATTTTAATTTGCTCATGTTATTTACCTAACCAATAGTAAGATTTGTCATTAAATTTTGATTCAGACTAGATTTATGCTCTATAACCAGTTCATCGTACTTCATTGTTTTCATTCTTTAATGTAGTTTAGTTCATGTTTTTATATTGCACTAGATATAAATTGTGAATCCATTTCGCCATTGAAGGCTTAGAAAAAGAACGAAATGAACAAATTCATTTCTCAACGCACAGTGGCTTGGTTTGAAGTCAGGTTCCTGAACAAATTCATTTTGCAGTACTAATAGCCGCACGTTTGCATTTAAGACAGTTTTGGAGACTTTCCTTTGGCTAGACAGATTTGGAGTAAGTACTGTTTTTTTTTTTTTTTTTTTTTTTTTTGGTCAGAAAAATAAGTAGGCAATGCTTCTGGTGGCAGGTAAGCAAGAGCAAGTTGATCCTGGCAGAATATAAATTCTAGTGTACGTGTTAAAAACACAACTTTACTTTTCAATTTGACATGTTGCAAGTAAACTTGTAAAACTTTGCTGAGAACAGTTTGCTGCCTATCAAACAAACGGGTTCTCAAAATATATGCATGCCACTGCTAAGCTAAAATTATGCATTTCATTCTAGAGACAAAGTTGAGTTCTGTCAAATAGTCTTTCAAATTACACACACAACCACACAGTCCAATATCTCATACAAACTCGAAAGCATACACAAACAAATGGAGAAAATAAAGAGGAAAAAGTGGGGAAAAAAAGAGAGGTAACCTATGGATATGTCATTAATAGGCTTGTTGACCCACATCATAGGCCTATTAATTGATCTGCCCACCTCCCCCCGTGGTTATTGGTGGTCTAACAGCCCTTAAGCTTCCAGCAACTTCCTGTACATAAAAAGACACACACATATTTGCATTAACTGAGAACATATATATAACGTATTTAATGTACACAGTATCAGGCTATCAGCTGAAGTTTATTTTCTGGTACTTGTTTTCTTAATCCTGGAAGACGTTTTAAGTACGAATCGCCTTTCAGTGCTCAATAATAAATAAAAATAAAAAGAAATTGATGTCTGTAAAGAGAGAGAGAGAGAGAGAGAGAGAGAGAGAGAGAGAGAGACTAACAGAGGTTTGTGTAGTAGTTGAAGATGGAGCTGGATCAGCTTCTGTTGTGTCTGTTGCTGTGACTGATGGATCTGCAGCATCATCTTGTAGCTCTACTTGGGAGGTTGAAGGAGCAATTTTATTAGGGTTTGTTTCAGTGTCTTTTTGCCCATCATCTTCCTCCTGTGCTCTATTCTCAATACCCAAACACTTGAAAAAGGCCCTAACTGCTTCTTCAAGGAAGTGGCATGGGTGTAAGTAGAAATTATAGGAAACACCTCTCTTCTCTTTCACCTCCGCCTCCCCATCATCAGTTGATACTTGTGAGCACTCCATTTCAACAAAGTCCTCTTTTTCTTCTTCTTCTTCTGCTTCTTTTTGTGTTTCAGACAGAGAGATTCACCTACTTCTTTAATACCCTCTTAAATGCTTCTGCTCTCCTTCAGTTATTGCTTTGAATACCTGTTTTCTTCTCAGTTTTCACAAATGTACAAAATTGCCCTTCTCTTTTCTCTTCTATTACATGACTTGCATAAATCTTCAGAAATTAAAGTTGGGGAAAAATAATTAATCCGTAATGTATGTGACTGAAAATCTACAACATGCCTTTTGGAACACATCGAATGAGGTATGCTGATGAGCAACTAATTTTACGTGCCATGCAAATTTGTTGGATTGCTAATTCAACGAAATAAATCTCCTGGGTGGCACGCGTACGATATATGATTGTATTTTATGATATCTTTGGTTTAAGTGATTGGTTAATTGTGTGGGTCTTGTAATCGAGTTTTTCTATTTTTATTAACGATATTTCTATAGTTTGACAAAAAAATAAGAAGATATTATTAGCAAGAGAAAAGCTACTAAATCAAATGGCAGTTGATAATATTGTTGTCATTTTTAAAAGTGGCGTGTATTAGCTTTTTTCTCTTTTTTATACAAAGTAAAATTATGCAGCTAATGAGGCAATTAAGACGAAGTTATTCTAAGATTCATCATTCATGGTGACATAAATGAAATACATGTGTGTATTAGGTAATTAATTTTGATGGAGCCATCACCGCCATGCTACCAACTCTTGGAGCATGTATGCTGTCCAAGGAATGTGCCTCGTGTCTTTTGTCACCTAATCTCATGTTACGTTCCTCTCTTCACTTACGACGTACTAAGATTTTCTTTCCCCTTTATTTAAGTCATCACACTCCACGTTCTTGCTTATACTACTTATTTTCTTTGCAGGAGAAAAACTTTCCTGGTACGGGGATGCCAGGTTACTTTTGCACCTCAATATCTCAAGCCAATTGCACAGATGTAGAGATTGGATGAGAGAGAAACCTTACTTTTTGGTTGAGTTTTTTATTAAAATATGTTTTTAAAAGTTTTTAGAAAAGATTGGCAAGTGGCAGTATCCTATTAGCTTGGGATAATGACTTGGAAGACTGACTTGATATCCCCATGCCAGGAAAGTTTTTCAGCTGGTTCAGGAGCGGCACTGAGCGCGACACATCACATCGCATAAGCTTTTCTCTACGTAGTGTATTTGTTTCGTTCAGTTCCCAAATAGCATTGGCTATTTACGCGAAATTGACAAATATCGTACGCTTATGCTTCAGCTGTAGCTTGTGCGAAATGGGCTTTTTGTTTGAAAGAAATTTATTGACAGAAACAACATTATTTCAGTCCTAGACAACTATTACAAAATCTTGATATGCCCCTTTGAAACATGCCTGAAGCTGTGTACTATGTGCTCCCTCCAAAGAAAATGAACCCTAACCCCAAAATTTGCTGTAAAATCGAAAGCAAATTCATCTAACCGCCATTATTTTTTACTATATTATTTCTATTCCCAAAAGGCTTACGTAGGCGTCAATGCTTACGCTACACTTTATAGGACATAAAATGCGACATATTACATGAAAACGATTTAAAACATTGATATTAATTGAAAACAACAAATGATCCCAAAGGACAAGAGAAGTTGAATATGATTTAGACTTGACTTCGTGTTCCCCTATGAAGTTTTACAGGTGGGTACGGTGCAGTCCAGTTTGGTTGACTACCAAAACCCAATGCTGGCCTTCGGGGTGGGCAAGAGGGGCGTTGGCCATGGGCCTCCAATTAAGGGGCCCCAAATTTTTTATATTATACCATTGTCCAATTTATTAATTGAAAAAACAGAAATAATACGCGATTAAATTAGGTTTCTTTGTTTCCTCTTCCTAGAAGGTTTTTCATTTCCCACGCAGAAACAGAAACAACTTGTGCTTGAGGAAGGTGATTCCTCTTCAGATAAGGCAATTCCTCTCCTAGGTTAGTTTCTCTATGGAACAACTCTATTTAATCCACCCATCTCTTAATAATCCACGCTACCATATTTTTCTCCGTTATTCCCATCTCTCTTCAATCCATCCATTATTTTCAATTTTTCTCATCCTTTTTTTATCATATCATATTGTAACCCTAATAATCAATCTCACACTAAAAAGCTCACAAATTGTCTTTGAAATTGATGGTGACCAAGAGAGGAGGAACATGAGAAATTGAAAAGATAATCATATATATAATTATATATATATATATATATATTTGTCCATATCCATCAAACAATTTTTTCAATTTCTAGATTATACACAAACAATGACTCTGCTGTTAAGAGACTTAAACTTTTTTTAATAGACCAAGTGAGATTATGCTCTATAATTGTTTATCGTAAAATCATTATTCACGCGCTACGTAAAATCATTGTATACTAGGGGAAGGGACCTCATTTAGTTTATCGCCTAGGGCCACCCAAAAGACAGGGTCGACCCTGCCGGAACCAACACCAAAACTTGGCACATCGATAAAGGGAAAGTGAGGGACCAACACTTCATGGATATTTATGAATTTTGAAACCGTATGCCCAAATTGGATCAGTCAGTTTGGTTCGATTTTCTACCTGATTTTTGGAAAAACAAATAGAATATGCGATGTTGTTTTAGTTAGAATTAGGGTTATTCATTTCATTAGTTCCTAAATTTTGACCAGATTTGCATTTGAGTCTCTCAATTTCCAAAATCGTTCCCGTGGTCTTTCAACTTTAGTTTTGTTAAGACAAATGGTCATGCCGCCAATTTTGTTAACTTTTTCTATTAAATGCAAGGGTAAAAATGGTATTTTAGTATTATTTTTAATTTCCAATTTCTGAATATTCCTTTCAACCAAAAAATAAAATTAAAAATTAGAAACTAAAAATTAAAAAATCTTATTCCTATCCTCAGTCAAACTAAAAATTAAAAATTAGTTCTTATTCCTAAAAACTTGAAGAAAAAAAAATATTAATATTTCATTCATATTTTAATCAATTTAAAATTTAAAAAAATTAAAATACCATTTTACCCCTACATTTAACAGCAAAGTTAACAAAATTGATAGCATAACCATTTATCCTAATGGAACTGAAGTTGAAGAACCATGGGAACAATTTTAAAAATTGAGAGACTCAAATGCAAATCGGGTCTAAGTTCAGGGATTAATAAAATGAATAATCCATAGAATTAACTAGAATTAGCTACATTGAGGTATGTGATTCACGTTAGATAATTCAATTAGAATAAACAAAAGTAAGGTAACATTCATCATGTGAGAATTTAGATGGCTCCCTTTGTAATTTTTTTTTTCTTGTTGATCTAATAAATTTCTATCCCTTTTTTATCAAAAGATTTGTAGTACACATAAATAACATTACTCTAAATCTGAAGCCTTATTCAATGTTGTCATAGCTTATATGCGTTTTATTATAATTAATTATTATATATATATATATATATATCACGTTACATATTTGACTAATTCACAAGTCGTGTAAAACTATGTCCTCCCACACACATTGGAGATCAGCACATAAAGCACAAATTAAAATACGAAAGTACATGCAAGCTGTTAGAAAATCTGAAGCTTAATTAGATGGACGTAGCAAACTTTTGTTTCACATGTATGATGTACATGCATATCCATTAGCTCAAGCCTGCATGTGAGTTTCATGTATAGGATATAGAGACTATCAATTAGTCTGAGCACCACTCCCTGTGCTTATTTCTGGCCTTGCCGCACGAAGAGTAATTCTCTGTACATAACAACACAAATATACAGTTTAGAGGGAGAGAGAGAGAGAGAGAGAGAGAGAGAGATGAAGGGGGATTATATTCACCGGTCTTTTAGGGGCGTTAGAAGCAGCAGCAGGGTCTGCTTCCGGGGCTACTACTGCCTCTGGCGGTGGAACAACTTGCTCTGCTGCTGCCGTAGCTGACGTGGCTGGTGTCCCTTCAACAGAAAAATCTATATGCACTTGTTGTGTTGTTGAAGTTGAAGAATCCCCAACACCCAAACACTTGAAAAGAGCCCTAACTGCTGCTCCGAGGAATTGGTAACGATCATAAGAAACAGCAACCATCTTCTCAGTAGTGATGATGACCTCCTTTCCTGATGATGCCTTCTCCATTTTAATGATCCTTTAATTTTTCTTGTTTCCCTACTTCTTCCACCCCTCTCATTAAATAATTACTTGGCGTGTGGTATTTTTACAATTAAATAATGAAACTCGTGGTTCTTTCACTTGTAAAAAAATGTACAACATATTATAATCTGCCCCTTTTTTTCTTCTATTTTACACCACAATCATAGGCGCTCAGGTTCACCGAGTTGACCTTGCAGTTTTGTACTTACTATAACTACTATGACCAAAATGTTCCGCAGTCCGTAACATATACATCTAGAAGGTCAGTATGTATGTGCGTGCATGGAATTCATGTATGTATAGAAATTGCTGCTTGCATGTATAGCATGCATTTGTTGACTACCAGTACTAAGCTTTCTCATGCATGGGTCCTCGATCCATGAATCAACAATGGTAGCTTCACTAAATTTATTCACCAAAACTAATTACTGAACGGTGTGTTTGTATATACCCGACTCGAAAAATTTGTGATTGGACCCCTTTTGTAAACACTCATAGTTTTTCCTTATAAAAAAAAATTAAAAAAAATTTCAATTCCGTTGAAAGATTCAAACTTAGAACTTCTTTAATATTAGAAAAAGAAATACCACTAGATCAAGAGCCAGTTAATCACGCTTGTAGCTTCCTTCCATGTGATCATATGTACAATTTTATTTTGCATATTGTTGAGAAAAAAAAATATTAATATTTCATTCATATTTTAATCAATTTAAAATTTAAAAAAATTAAAATACCATTTTACCCCTACATTTAACAGCAAAGTTAACAAAATTGATAGCATAACCATTTATCCTAATGGAACTGAAGTTGAAGAACCATGGGAACAATTTTAAAAATTGAGAGACTCAAATGCAAATCGGGTCTAAGTTCAGGGATTAATAAAATGAATAATCCAT